GGCGCCACGTTGAATTCCCTGCCGGTCATTAGGAACGCAGGTGTTTCTTTAGTAATCGAATGTGGGGTTGTCCTATAAGCCAACACAATGTCTCTTAAATGATCGTCCCAGTCATCTTTCTTGCTGTTTGTATACATTGCCAATGCAGTTTTCAGGGTCCCATTGAACCTCTCTGTCATGCCATTACATTGTGGCCGATATGGGGAGGTGTTTTTCAACCGAACTCCCATCTTCTTACAAGCTCTTTTAAATGTAGATGACATGAAATTTGACCCACGATCAGATAAAATTGTACATGGGTAGCCATAGTCCCCTGCAAACCTTTCGATACATTTTACTGTCGTCTCGGCACTTATTTCTGGAACGGCATAAGCAGCTGGCCATCTTGAGAATTGGTCTTGCATAGTTAGGACATACCTGTTACCACTTGTTGTTACAGGTAGCGGTCCAACATAATCGATTCCAACAAGTTCCAGTGGTCCAAATACTTCAATTGGTTTCAGTGGTGCATGCGCTCTGTTCTTTGGTTCGTTTCTTTGTGCACAGAGTGAGCAATTCTGTAAATGTCTACTGATGTCCCTCTTCATACTTTTCCAGAAGTAGGCCTGCCTTATTCTTGCAAACATTCTCTGAAATCTTGGATGTGCAGCTTCCTCGTGGTTTTGGACAAGAATCTTCCCTTTTTCCGATTTTGGCACAACCAGCTGTTTTCTCACTCGTAACTGTTTCCCCTTCCGAACAGGAGTCCACAAATGGTACAGTACGCCGTCTTCAATGACATATTGATTCTTGTGTCCTTCTGGCTCACTCCTGTCTTCTTGTGGGTGATTGTTGCCATCACGTAAACGATACATCATTTCTGCACACTCTTCGTCTGCTTGTTGGCTGCTCATGACATCTTTTTCTGAAATGACTGCAACTTCCATCTTCGTTTCTTCAACAGGACATCTCGATAAGAAGTCAGCGTTACCATTGCATTTTCCAGGTCTGTGTTTCACCTCAAAAGAATAGGCTTGCAGGTCACACATCCATCTTTCCATCTGAGCACTCTTTGGCTTCATTGTTTGCAACCATTTGAGGGGTCGGTGGTCCGTCACAATAACAAATGTTCTTCCGAACAGATAATGGTGGAAATACTGTAACGCCCATACGATCGCCAAGCATTCTTTCTGAATCGTTGAATAATTCCTTTCACTACTTGACAGCTGTCTGCTTGCATATGCTACCACTGCTTCGCCATCGACAAAGTTTTGCGCCAACACTGCTCCCAGGCCATAGTCACTTGCATCAGTATAAACCACAAAATTTCGATCAAAATCTGGTAATCGAAGGACAGGTTCGGTAAGCAAGGACATTTTCAGATGCTCAAATGCTCTTTGCGCCTCTTTATTCCACTGGAATATCTTGGGCTGTCCACGTGTTTTTGTCAGTTGTGTAAGTGGCTTCACGATGCTTGCATAATTGGGCACAAAACGTCTGTAGTAGGAAGTCATACCAAGGAACTTCTTTACTAATGTCCTGCTTGTAGGAGCTGGAAAGTCTTCTACTGCCTTGATCTTTGCTGAATCAGGTCGTATTCCATCCTCTGAAATGATGTGTCCAAGATATTTGACGCTTCTTTGTACCCACTGACACTTGCGGGGTTTCAACGTTAAGCCTGCCTTCCTGAGTCTGCTAAGAACAGTTTTCAGTCGATCCATGTGCTCTTCAAATGTTCTTGAGAAGATGATGATATCATCTAAATACACCAGACAGTGTGTCCAATGAAGTCCTGTTAGAACGTAGTTCATCAGCCTCTGGAAACAAGCTGGTCCATTGACGACACCAAATGGCATGGTCTGAAATTCCCAATGCCCCTGTGAAGTCGAAAATGCAGTCTTTTCCTTATCTTCATCTTTCATTGGGATTTGCCAGTATCCGCTTTCCAGATCCAATGTAGTGAAAAAACTTTGCTTTGCCAAGTGCATCAAGGGTGTCATCAATCCTTGGAATAGGGTATGCATCCTTTTTTGTGACTGCATTTAATTTTCTATAATCCACACAAAATCTTGCTGTTCCATCAGGCTTTGTGACCAAAACAACTGGAGAGGACCATGGACTTTTTGAAGGCTTTATGATGTCTGCAACTAGCATCTTTTGTACTTCTTCTTCTATGATCTTTCGCTTTGTTTCTGGTACCCGATATGGTCTTTGTTTTATTGGAGAAGCAGAACCAGTGTCAATACTGTGTTCCATCACCGTGGTTCGTCCAAGTTTTTTCTGACCAGCAACTCCACTTTCGTTTAAAACATGGCACAAATGTTGTTGTTCTTCTGTGGAGAGATGCCCAATGTTCAGATCAGAAGGTCTTATCACTGTCATTGTTTTGTCCTTGACTTGTTCTGCTTTGATCTCCTGGAAAAGTTCCAACTCTGCCATTTCATCTCCTTGCTTCAGTTGAACTGGGCTCTTCGTTGCATTCATAATCTCAAGTGCTACTCTTCCGTTTTTTCTACATTTGGTCAGCACACTTGCCACGTGGATCTTTGTTGTTGATTTTCCTGGTTGTCTCTCAGCAAACAGAAGCAGTCCTTCTTCATCTCCATTTATTTTGGCTTGTATCACCATAGCTCGCTCAGGGGGCACCAGCACATCTGTACACAAGAATGCGGATCTTTTCCCGGCCAGTTGGAAGAAAGGTACACATTTTCCATCGCTAAACACAACAGTCTTCGTATCATACTGAATACGTAGGCCATGCTTTGCCATGAAATCGTTGCCAAGGAGACACTGAAATCTGAAATTGTCTATGACCGTTACAGGAAATGTCACTTGAAGATGGCCAAGGGCCAGTATCATTTCCGTCTTTCCAATCACTTTCAAAGGGTCACCACTAGCTGAAACGAGTTGTACATTTGATTCTTGTAGATTGGCCTTGGGAAAAGCCTGGTCAAAAACTTCTTTGCTCACCACCGTCACCGCTGCTCCAGTATCCAGCATGAAGTCCACAGGAAAACCATTTATTTTTCCAGATACCCATGCACCTTCTCTCACCAAACGTTGCTCATGTATGTCATCATTGTCCAATGCAAATAATTGTATTTGTTTGTAGTTACAGGAGGGCAAGGTTTGATCTGATGAGAGTTCCCTCTTTTTCTCACCAGCTGATCCAACGGCTAGTCAGTCTCCCCCATTCTCCCTGTTCTGCCTTTTCGCTTCAGGACAACTTCTTTTCACATGGCCCGGCTTCCCACATATCCAACATTTGGCAATTCTTGGCTTTGTTGCATACTGTGCTGCGACGGAAGTTGAATTTGTAGCAGCCAATCTTCTAACATCTTCCGTAAGTTGACCAATAGCCTTCCATATAGAATTCAAATCATTGCCCTGAGTTTGTTGTTTTTCCACCGGAGCCATTGTTTGTTTTCTTTGCTTGTGAGCTGAAATTCTGTAGTCTTCACCCTCGGAGTCTTCGTGAAGCATTTCTTCTAAGGCTGCCAGAATTCTTGTTTTCCTTGGCATAGACTCTGAATCCAAAAACATCTCCCGCGTTTGTGCTTCGAGGACAGCGTCCTCAAACTCCTTCAATCTTCTTCCCCATAACCACTGCTTTATTTCAGGCTTTAGGCCATTGATGAAGGCTTCACATGCCGCTTCGTTGAATCGGTCTGCTGGGAAACCTTTCCTGGCCAATGTTTCGACAGCCTCAGCATATTCATTCACGCTTTCTCGTGGCCTCTGCTTTCTTTCCGCCAAAGCTCCTCTTGCTAACAGGCGCATGTCTTCATTGTTGAAATAGTCTTCTAACCTGTTTTTTAACTGATCTAAGTTTCCTTTTAACTCTTCACTCTGTCTTGCGAACCACCTTCGAGCATTGTCCTTTAAGTAGAGTGGAAGTCTCCGCAGCTCATCTTCTGCATCCCAATCGTTTACTCTGGCCGCAAGTTCCCAGTGCTCCAACCAATCATTTACATCATCACTTCGACGTCCCGCAAAGTATTGGATGTCCACAATCGATCGCTTAGTGTTTCTCCTCGTTCCCTCAGAATACTGTGATGTTTCAGGTGATCTTGGACTCCCTTGCTGAGCTTCCTGTCTGCTTGGAGAGGAAAGCATCACTGTTATATCACTGCGACGTCTGACTTGAGCCTCACTTGCTGCCTGACTTCTTGTTACTGGTCTTCTCCCGAACGGTTCGTTGATTTCCCGTGTTTCTTCAGATGCTGCGTAACCAGCGTCTATGGAATTCCTGCGCTGTGACATCTAAACTAGAAATTCTGGATCCCACTCCTGTCACCAGTTATGTCACACCCAACCACGCCCAGTAGTTTCAGGAATGTAACACAAAATATAGAGAAGATAAAATACTGAAGTTATCAATGTGAAAGTATAATATTAAATACTAATGTAAATAAGGTAAAGGGACTCAAGCCAACGTTCTCAGAAAATACCCTTCTGACCGGCCTCAGAGCTCCCCGCTCACATCTGTCTCTGCATCTTCAGCTCCCCCTTTTATACAAGTTAAGGTTTACATGTCCAAAATAGAATGCTTAGATACGATAAACAGTTTTCTTAACAACCGTGACGATTACAAGATATTTCAAAGGAATTACGTAAAATCCAGCAGCGTTATCTCGTTTTGTTGCTGTGGCCACAGCGTCTATTGTCAACAGTCCAGTCAATCCTAAAAATATCTAATTACAGCAAGCCTGCATAAAAGCATTGCATCAGCGCTAAAAGTAAACACATTACAATAAAACACTGAGCGCAGAATGGTCTAATATTAAAACTTAGACGAATCAGAAGTTTCGTTCTTTGTTGATAGTAACCAACCAGAATTGAGCTACAGTGGATATTCCGAGCTATAGTCGGTCTGGGGATTTGCTCTGGAAAAGGCATCGAAACCCGTACCATAGTTTTGACAATGACAATGAAATGAAACCCGTACCATAATTTTTGGCGCGAGCTATAGTCAAACTATAGTCAGGTTTGAAAATGACCTTTTAACCAATAGAATATTAGTATTCCTCCGCTCTCTGTCCCCTGTAAAGCAACAGTGGACTATAGCTCGTTTTCACATGGGCCCACTGTAATGTAGCTTCAAAGGCAAGGACCTACTAGGGAATAGACAGGGACGGCGGAACGACCAAGCGGAAAGAGGAGGGGGGGGGGGCAGGCTTGAGTAAAAGGGCTTTTGAAAGATAATTCTCAGCTTCTACAAATTCATACGCAATTTTATTATCTGTAGGTATCTTCAACATTGGCTAACTTTCGGCACAAGGAATTATTTTACATGATTGAGAAGTTCAGAATTTCATATGAATCTCTCTGATTATTACAATTGGTCAGTTTCAAGGCAACTTTATTAAAAACAACCCTTGCCCCTTCTGTCAAAAGGCAACAGGGGCGGTTGTACCCCCACACCCCCTTCTCTGGCGTCCCTGGAAATAGAAAAAGGATGTTCGAAGGAATATTTATGAATACGAAGCAACTATAAACACACATGGTTTTATCATTGGCCCATATAGTGGGCGTGTCCCACAAGCAAGAAGGGCGTGGTTCCGATTCCAAAAGATTTGAACTATAGTCATCAAAAATCCTGGATCCACCCCTGGTATTGATTGAGAAAATTTTAATT